CTGTAAAGACATCGATAACACTTTCATAATTTCATGATGTAAGGTCGATGACATTGTTGAACAGGCAAATTTACGAACTGGATTGGGCCAGCTCATAGTCCTTACTTTGCCTTTGGTTGGTCCCCGGGCTTGGTTTTTCTTATTCACCTGTTTTATGTTAATATGGATTGATGGATGTTCATCGTTCGCTGAAAGTTTCGGATGAATGGAAAGAAATCTGAGCAAAAATCAGTGTGTGATAGTGCCAGATGAACGAACGAACCGGTTCTTGAGGATGTTTGTAAATTAGTTAATTGGCATTAATTTGAAGAACATAGTTTATATTAGAAACAAATATAGAAATTCTCTTTTACGCATCTGCGTAATTGAAGGTATGTGATGTAGGGATATTAGATAAATGATGATCATATTGGTAATGAATAGAAGAGAATCGATGTGAAGGTATTTTTCGATGGGATGGATTTTATGATATGTGTGGTGTTTGTATGTCTGAGTTTGGATGTATGAGGGAATTGAGTTGGTGTTGAATTATTGTGATAATCAGTAAATAGCTGACGTTCTTCATTTGCGTCAAACTGAACTTGTGATCAGTGAGTCAGTCATTCGATGACGACGGTACTCTAGCGAAAAAGGTATTCGGCGAATTCTCTTTTATATTTATCTCTATGGAATGAGCATAAATTTGATTTGTTTATGCTGTTTCTTTGTTTGTCAAATAGTAACTGTCACAACTAGTTGCAGACGTAAGGGCATTTTCTAGATGAATCAGGAATAAAAAATTCGGTTTGAGTTAGCAACTAGAGAGAAGAAAGAAGAAAGGGTGTGTTATTGCTTTATGCAATTGTCGGCGTGATTACTGACATTCTTTTGCTAGCTGGAAAACTGCCATTCTCAACGCGGAAATATTTAAGTAAGAGTCCAATTGTGGAATAACATCTTATTCATTTGAACACCTTTCAGTAAACAACACAAAGAATAATGAAATAATTTGATTGCTACTTAGTATTGCTGAAGGAGCCGTATGATATTTTCATTTCATTCTACTCGGTTCAGTTCAGTTTGTTCTTTTCTGTTCGGGTGCGAACAGTAAACATTCTTAACATCATTCTACATATATTCTTATATACACATCATATATTTAGAAATTTAATAATTTCTGTAACAATTAACGATATTTGTATTGCTAGTAAAGGCTGCTTCAACTGCATTCTTCTTCCTCTTCTGATTGTAATTTAATCTGCCTTAAATTCTCACCCTTTTCATCGTCGTCTTCATAAAACGATATTCATTTTTCAAGTACATACATAAAGTCAACACGATGAAGTCAACTAAAATCAGGTGATTCCAATAATACGATTCTTCTTTGTCTGCTCGCTGCGTTTCCCTTTTCGTTTTCCTTACATAAATAACTCTTATATGATCCACTATCTGTTAATCATTAGTAGCAATTACAAAACGAAATGCTCACTGCTCATAACAGCCACTTCTACTGTTATTATCAAATCGCATACCTTACCATGAAGCTAATATTATCTGTCCGCATCTCCTCTATTCAACCATCCACTAATTCACCTTTAACAAATCAGCATTGATATTCCTCAGCCAGTTAATTAATCAATCTTCTATATTTTGTCATTCCTTAATCAGACCTTCTTTATAAGCGGTATATTAATTATAAAATTTATAACAATATCCCTTATTTATAAAAAAATATATTAATTATAAAATTGATAATAATATCCCAAAACGAACAAAAATAATAAAAATTTCTGAGGTGACGAACGGCATTAACGCTGTTAAGCAAGCGAAGCAGATTAATTCATACTATTTCCTGTCACATGAATGCTATTCGAATTCAGGTGCTGTTGGTCACGAATTCAGTTGTTGAAAAAGTTTTCGTTGGGAATCGTATTGGTTTTGTATCATCAATTATGTTGTCTGTTGCTTTTTTTGCCAGACAGCAGTGTTGAGTTAGTGCTCATGGAAAAGTTGACTTAATGATGGATAATTACCTATAGGATGTTTGGCTGGTGGTAATGCGAGTTGAGTTCATGTGAAAAGCGATTGTTGTTGTTGTTGCCGGTGGTTAAATTTTGCATATCACATATTATGATTTGACAAATGGCATGAAAATCGATTTTGAATTTTGAACTGCAGAAAAATGTGTGCATGAATATCGTTAATTGTTAGTGGATTTATTATTGGAGGAGTAGGGGGAGTGCAATGCGATCGAATTGGATTTATCAACGGATATACATACATACATCCACCTTCTTTTGGACTCTCTCAAACGCATCCATTTATTCATCCATTCATTCATTCATTCGTTATTTTCTTCCATTCCCTTCACTGTATTTTATTCTACTTCTATTCAGCGCTTTTAGACATGAACTGTGTAAGTTGCAATAGGGTCGATATTTTTTAGTACTGAGTGTAAGTCGCTATTGGACAAGTGTGTCAGGTTGAGGAGATTAGCTTTAGACTGTTAGAAACATTTAGTTGAAGTTTGTGGGGCGAATATAATGAACCTAATTAAGGAATACAGTGGATTATGATAGAGGAATAGAGCGCAACGATTAAATGCGCTTGCATTCTATTAGCGCATATTAACTTCTTGCAGTCGTTTATCTGCACCAACTGCAAACGCGTTACTAAACTTTCCGCTTCTTTTTTCTATACAGCAATATTCATTTAGCAATTTCAAGACTAGTGCAAAAAACAGCGTTGCAATTATTTCAATGTTTCATTTGTTTTTCGCCAAAATCATCACCCATTCTATATGTGAACATATAGTGTTCGGCGAATGGTTAACGATATTACTCTTACACCACTTACACTATTGTTTATTGTAATTGTAATATGAAATAATGATAAGTTTGTGTAGATAAGCGGTAGGTAAGTAAATGAGTGTTTATTATACGAATGCGTGTGTAATATTAAAAATTTGTTCGTTGCTTAGTTCTTTGAAGAGGTTTTCACCAATGTTTATAAATCTAAACATTTACTGAAGATCAGCAAAGTTAGAATTGCATTTGATTCTACGTTAGTATTATTGATAAGGATAATAGAGATGATAATGCTATGATTTTAATGAGTCGTTAATGAATTGAAATGGTGGCGTGATATCTTCTAAAAACTGTTTTCGTAATCTTTCGTCTTTTACAAATATCGTAATACATATCACACCATCACCATGTTTTCTTTGTGCATTATGATGCAGTACATTTTAGCATACTATCACATAATGTCTTGCCGAAAGAACTGGTAGGTATGTATTATTGATAAGGATAATGGAAATGTTGATTGGCTGATAGTGACATTGGCCTGGATTTATAGGTAGCAAGATCGATGAGCAAATTCATTTGTTTATGAGATGGTAAACGATCATTATTACTGTTATTGTTATTATGAGAAAGAAGGAGATGTGGATGGATAGCTAGATGGTTAAAGAGGGAATGAAGCAAAGAATGAAGGGTTGTCGTGAACGGACGCACAGTTTTCAGAAACGAGATGATGTGTTATTATAAAAGTGAACGAAACATGCTGGGAACGCAAGCAACCGGTTGTCACTTAGGCTGGTACATAGACATGCATATGTGCATGTGCATATGCTAGTTGCACCATGCTAATGGCTGCTCACGCCACCAGTGCTTAGCTTCGTTCTGTTTAGATGCCATGCTTGTCTTAAGATGACATTATCACAATGACAATCGTGCGCTGGCTGATTCAATTGTTTTACGAACACTAACAGCAATTATTATATGAATTTTATGTTTCATTCAGTCAACTTCCTGTTTCTTCTTAGCTATATTGATACTTAGTGATTGTGGCTCATTGAACTTATAAATCATTTTGGTTCAATACTTAATTTACTGTGCTCTTTCATTTATTTCATCCCATTGCTGTTTTATGCTTCGTATTGTATTTTGATTGATTGAGTCATGCTTATTGCCGTCGTCCTGTTCATGCTTTAATCGCTCGATCGCAGATGTGGATATTTGGCTTTTTAATTATTATTCAAGTTTTAATGACACAGCTTTGAAGTAAGTTCATTCTTAGGTAGTACTTGGCCAGTGAGCTAAGTATTTATTTACATTTTCATTCATTTGTATTGTTTCTCATCGTATTCCATCTGTCATTATTACAGATCTTGATCGTTAGCTCTATAGACATAATATACTGCATGTTGTGGGATAATATACATATAGAGTTTATGATGTTTGTAGTATTCTATGTTTGATAAAATAAGATAAGAATGCGAAGAAATGATGTGAAGTGCATAATAGAAGGCATGTGGTGAATCACTTAATGATTCATAGTAATGATCAGCAGTTGGCGATGCGATCGCTCTCAGTGATCGGACGATAATTTTGAAGGTTATCAGCAGTGATAGATCGATAGGCAGTAGTTGATGTTGATCGATAATCTCTGAAAGAGATAAAACTCGATCTAAATTGATTTCAATTGAATTGAATAAAGTGGGATGTTGATGATACAGATAGATAAAAAGGCAGAAATAGTCGTGAGTCGAGAAATTTATTTGCGTTAGTAAGTATTGCGTTGTGAGAGGAAGTGCATTCTGAAGACGAGTAGACTGGATTAGATATAGTGGTTCATTGAGAGAGGGATCAAATCGCTGCTTGAAGAATTTAGGCTGTCCATCTATCTATCCAACCATCAGCCTACCTAACCACCGTATCTTTCATTGAACGAAGTTCACATGCTCCATGATGTGATAATTACGAGGAAGTGTTGTCATTCGTTGTTAATCAGCAACCATTTTGATTGGTGTTGTTATGATTTGACTATCATTAAACATTCTTTTTAAAATGAATGCCATATTTATTTGTGGTTGTATTTAAATAGAACGTTTCATATGGAATGTGAGTAAATTAAACTTCATATGCTGATATTAATAATGCATATTATTTTTATTATTAATCGAATACCAAGTATGATAATATAATAAAGGGATTAAGATTTCAAAAAGTACTTTAAGGATGCCAACGCCGTCATTACTCACTCACAACAACCGTGAGTTTGTCGATTTCGAGAAATCGAATGAAGTGGATCAAAGAGCCGAAACATTTGCAACGGTCGAAGAATTCTTGGGCAGATATGCCGATCCTAAAGTGGCAAGGCCCATTAAAACGGTTAGTTGTTTAAATTTATTTACACATTCATTTAATTATTCGTTGAATTAATTTGTTTTATTCAGCGAATTATTGAATTCAGTTAATTTATAAGTTTTTAGTTCCGCCCGAAACTAAATTTCTTGTGTGTAGATGTGTATTAATTATTGTAACATATGCATAACAATTGTAATCGTTAGATGAAAAGATGGAGTGTTCCAATATTGTGTTCAAATCACATTCAACAGTATCACGCCACAATAACTCAAATAGAATATTGTGTTCATATCACATTCAATAGTATCACACCACTATAACTCACATAGAAGCATATGAACTTCACATGATTAACATGTGAGCGATGACAAGATGATCATTTCTATAGCGTATATGTAAGTGAGTAAGATATTGCATATAATGCAGCTCAAATGAGATTAGCAACTGAAATAACAATTGATACAACGAATCGGAATGTTAATAATAATAATGGCAACAGGCTTATTAATATTGAAATGAATGGCTATTTATAATTGTTAATTGATTATTTTAGTTGTCCATATACAAAATTAATATAATATTATAAATAAATAAATTGAAGTTGCTGATTGCAAACAATGGAATGGCTGCATTCAAGTGCGTTATGTCCATCAGACGTTGGGCACAAGAGACGTTTAAAGATGATCGTCTTTTTAAATTCATCAATCTTACCACCGAACAAGAAATATCTTCGAATCCAGGTTTATTATTTATAACACTAATGCTTTATTATCATTATTATTGTTATTGTTGTTGTTATTATTATTGTTATTATTATGGTATTATATTATTATACTATTTATTATCATGTTATTAATAGAAGCTGCTGAAAGGAATAATATTTGATTATTCAGAATACCTGAAGATGATCGACAATTTTGTGTTTTCACAATCGGGCGGTAACGAAAGTAATTATGCGAACGTTGATGAGATATTGAAACATGCGACTGGCAGTGCAGTGGATGCGGTATGGGCCGGTTGGGGGCATGCTTCAGAGAATCCGGATTTACCGAATCGTTTAAAGGAAAACAATATTCTTTTCATGGGACCACCAGGTCCGGCGATGTTCACACTCGGCGACAAAATTGCATCCACTATATTGGCCCAATCAGCACAAGTACCGGTGGTGCCATGGTCAGGAAGTGATCTGTATTTGTCGAAAGAGGCTTGTGAGAATAGTCGAAGCGATATCGAAGTGTCGAATGAGTTGCGTATGGCCGCATGTGTGAACGATCATGAGGAAGCAATACGCGTAATGAAAGAAAAGAATATTCCTTTCCCAGTCATGATCAAAGCATCTGAAGGCGGTGGTGGAAAGGGCATACGTCAAGTTCGATGTGAGGCTGAATTCGAAGTGAACTTCCGACGTGTTCAAGTATGTGTTTATTCCATTGTTAGTGTTATTATCGTAATCATTGTTATATTGCTCAATGAACAGATGCAATACTGACAATCAGTTCAGATAATTTCATTTCAGGCCGAAATTCCCGGTGGACATATATTTCTGATGCATTGTTTAGAGGGGGCTCGACATATCGAAGTGCAGCTGCTGGGTGATCTGTATGGACAAGTGATTGCGTTAAGGACTAGAGACTGCTCAGTTCAACGAAGATGTCAAAAAATTATCGAAGAAGCGCCAGCTATTGCAGCACCTTTAGCTGTTCAACGTAGTATGGAAGCGGTAATCATTACCGTCGTATTACTATTATTAAGTTCGACTTTGATGTGAAAGGTAAGACTGAATTGAACTTTTTATAGGATGCAGTTCGTTTAGCGAAAATGGTCGGTTACGTGAGCGCGGGCACTGTTGAATACCTCTTCTTACCGAGCACCAACCAGTATTTCTTCTTGGAGTTGAATCCGCGATTGCAGGTGAATTTTATTAATTATTATTTATATGGATTGTATATGTACTCTTTTTAGGCATATGCTTCATTTTGGTGATTGCTATCGTTGATAATATGTTCTGTTTGAGGTAGAACATCCTCTGAGTGAAATGTTAACGAATGTCAATCTGCCTGCGGCACAGTTGCAAATAGCTATGGGAGTGCCATTGCACTGCATAAGTGAAGTGAGATTATACTGCGGTCGAAGTCGTTATGGCACTGATCAAATACCGTTCGATGAATTGCATATGTCTAGTGATAAGCACATCGTGTCCGTTCGAATCACCAGCGAAGACCCAGATGAGAATTTTAGACCTGCTTCAGGTGATTATTACTGTTATTATTATTATTATTATTATTATTATTATTATTATTATCATTATTTCTTTTTGTCCTTGTGATTGTTTTGATTTTCATCTCAGGTGAAATAACGAATCTCAATTTTCGTTCTACCCAATTTGTGTGGGGTTATTTTTCACATGTTGGTGCCGGTTCTTTACATGAGTATGCAGACTCACAATTTGGTCATTTGTTTGCATCTGGATCAACACGGTTTATTATTTTTGTGATTATTTGCAATATTATTTATTATTGTTGTTATTATTATTGCTATTAGTATTGTTGGTATTCTGCACTAGTTTCGTGTTATATATTAAATGAAGTAATCTATCAAATTGATACAAAATTTGCAGCCATGCGGCAATATCGAACATGCTCAATGCACTACAAGAATTACAATTGCAGTCGAAATTCCCCGTTACAGTACCCTATCTGATATCATTATTCAAAGATAACGAATTTGAACGGAATGAAATTGACACGAGTTGGTTGGATCGTAGGATTGCTTCGAAGAAACACACTGTACGATGCTTGTTTTATTGTGGTTATTATTCGGTATCATTGTTGTTATCATCAATAACATTAAGGTAGAACAACCACCGTTAGCAATGGCCGTCGCTTACGGTGCAATGCTGATTGCACATTCGCGTATCACCGAAGCGTTCAGTGCATTCAGTAACTCGATAAGTCGTGGTCAGATTCTACAGCCATCCGATCTCACCGAAACCCATCAGGTCGAGTTGATCTATAACAACGTCAAATACAGCGTGACCGCAACTCGAACCTCAACTATCGATTATATGGTCAAGTTGAACGGATCGAGTGTTCGTGTGGAATACCGTGAATTACGAAATGGTACTTTATTGCTCAAATATAATGAACGTTCGCATCCGTGTTATGTGGACGAAGAAGCGGAACGTTATAAAATTCATATCGGCAGAACACAGGTCAGTTGTATTATTTTGCAATCATTAAACTCTTCTTTTTGTTTTTTCTTCATACGTATTCTTTGATGTCATGTTTTGTTTTCATTTCAGTAATATTTTAAAAAAGTCCATCATGCATATTGTTATAGATTAATACTTATTGCTCGTAAATAGTAATCGAATTTTCCACTATTGTACGTAATAAGAAGAGCGAATAATGCAGATAACGTTTGAAAAAGAGAACGATCCGACGGTGCTACGTTCTTCGTGTGCCGGTAAATTGTTAACATATGAAGCAGAAGATGGTGATATATTGAAACCAGGTCAATTGTTCGCAAGTATGGAGAGTATGAAGGTGGTATTAGATATGCGAACCAAGAAAGTTGGTGGTCGTTTTAAACGTATCGCACAAGTGGGTCAAGTGCTACATCCGGGCACATTGGTGGCTCGTTTGGAAGCACAGGCCGGATGTGAAGTAACAAAACCGACTGATTTTGAGCAGGTTTTTGACGAATGGAATCATTCACCACTTACCACGTCGCCCATCAACATTCACTTTTCTGAAATTGTACAGGTGAGAGTTTGTTTCATTTGTGTATTCACTTTCAGTTAATCATAGCAACAAGAAATTATTTTTCGTTTTCAGCAAGTTCGTAATGTCTTTGATGGTTATTGCAAGTGCGATCCAACATTCGACGCTTACGCAGAAAGTTTAATGCAAGCATTATTTGACGTATTGCACGAACGTTCATTACCCTACGAACAAACTCGTCAAATATTAGCAGTGCTAAAATCGAGAATCAAACCGAATGTTCTTAATAAACTGCATTCATTCGTTGGCCTTGCCAATTCGTCAGACGGTAATACTATCAATCATATCATGCCACAGTTTCCAGCTGTTCAAATACGAGATTTTGTTAACGTAAATATCTTCTCTTTCTTTCAACTGTTTTTATAATTTCATTTTTTATTATTGCTATTATTATTGCCTTCATTATATGTTAGAGTATTCCTTAATTGTTGTTGTTGTGATTTTAATAATCATTGTTATTGATATTATTATTATTATTATTATTACGTGGTTTTATTTGTAGGAATATTTGGAAGGTTTGGATCCACAGAAGTTAACAATTGAACGCTTGAATTTTGCACCAATTTTGGCAATTTGTGAGAAGTTTGCAAATGGTGAAGAGGGACATACAAGTTTGGTATTAAATGAACTGTTCAATTATTACTTACAAGGAGAACAATACTTTCAGTATCATGAATATGACAAATGTGTTTCGAATTTGCTAGCTGAGGTATGTGGTGATGATTCATTATTGATTATTGTTGATATTTGTGATTTTGACGATTATAATTGAAAAGAAATTTTAGGTGAAAGATACGGAACGTTGTGTTCGAATGATTTATTCGCATACACGAATCAACGAAAAGAATCTGTTGGCAATGAAAATATTGAAACGTATGAGTGTGAATCGACGTTTGATTTTAGCGCAAACAGCGATTTTGGAGAAGATGGCTGCTTTTGTGAGAAATGAAAACATCGAATTAGCGCATGTGGCAAGAGCATTGTTAATCGATGCTGAAACACCGACTTACACTGAAATTAAATTGAGGGTTCGTTGGTTGTTTGATTATTGACGGTTGATTGCATTAGCCGATTGAGTGATAATATAACTGTTTTCTTTCAGGGTTCGTCACCAAGTCCATCGAATTTGGAGAAATACGAAATTTTATTCGAAACATTCGATAGCAGTTTTGAGTCAGTACGAAAATATGTGACGATTTGTTGCGGTGTTCCTGAACGATGTTTAGTACGTCTGCATGATGGACATCCAAATGATGTGCGATTTCCGATACGTGTTCAGAAAATTGCGTTGGTGTTACGTTTGTTGATAGATTATTCGTACTGTTTTTATTTATTGCGCAGTTATTATATTATTGGTGTAATTCACAGTTTGCAGTCGTAACAATAACGAATGCTTGTTTTAGACATGGTCTCGGTTTACCAAACGATGTTGTCGAAGAACACAGTGTTGATTTTCGTATTCTGGGTGATTTGGATGCAATTGAGTATTCGTTGAACGAAGCCGTTGAAAAATGCACTGTTGATGGTACAACACTATTTGTTGTTTGTCGCTCAAAAACACCCAAATATACACATGACACTGAGATGAAACTTGCTAGCATGCTTAAGGTTATTGATTCTCTTAGTTCTGTTGATGCTATTATTGTTATCATTATTATTACCATCATTATCATTATCATTACTATAATAAGAATATTATTATTATTAATGGATAGGCTAAATATATGGATGGTTGATAATTTATAGTGTGACGATAATGCTGACAGTAATAATTACAGGAATTGATGATGAATTTGCGAAACGATGTAGTGAGTCAATTGGTGATAATGATCGCACCAAGTGAATCCTATCCTCTGCATTTTTATTACGATATGATCAATCGCGAAGAGATCGTTTCACGACGTAACGTTCATTTTGCACATTTACCGAAATTGGGTCTGAGACGGCTGGAAGAGAATTATATTGTAAGTGTGAACTGTAATCATTGCTTTTGTTGAATGCAGTGAATTCTAGTGAATAAATAGTTTATGAACCGTACAGATTGAAAAAGTTCGTTCCCCGCACGGTCTAGTTGGACACCTATACCGGGCAAAAGGCAAGCAAGATAGCACTGAACATCGCTTCTTCTATAGAGCGGTGGTTCGTGTTGTTGACAGCTATACGGCTAGGTTAATTACTGCCATTATCATTTTATCTTATTTGTTTGCTTGTTAATAATAAGCGTTTTAAAAAATGCAGCGAGGTGACATCCACTTTGAAGAAGGCATTAAAAAGAGCCGCCGGTGAGATAGCAGTTGGCCTATATCGTTCCAAGACAATCGACCGCAATCATGTGTTCTTGTTTATTGATCGAACGCCATCAGCCAACAAAATACAAATGAGTCCAGCTGATTGGCGTAATGTTGTTTATAAGGCTTATCGAGATTGCAAGGTGATTGATTATTGTTGTTATCATTATCATTCTTATTCTATTATCCAATAAACAGTGTAATTCTGAACAAATTAAAGGACTATCTATGGCGTTCGCATGTAAATCAAGTGGAAGTGGATTTTGTGTTATTTGGTGAAAGGCGAAGTTATGAGCAAGCCACAAAAATCTTAATCACTGATGATACTGGTTTTACGCCATGCATACGGTTCCTTAAAGCTGAAGCTATAAATGGAAATTCAACGCCGAGTCGGGTTAGCTGCTTTTATTATTATTGTTATTATTATTGTTAATATTACTGTTGTTGATATTATTATTGTTGATATTATTATTGTTAATATTATCAATTATCTTCCTTATTTGGTGTTGTTATATGCTTACCAAATGAAGCTTATTCAGTGGGTTCATGTGGATGCTGGTATGGATGGTTTTGAGCATGGTTTGGAGATAATGGTTGAGGGTGATGACAGTGGGCATGGGGCCGATTGGAATCCTTTCATCGATCCGTATTTAGGTCGATCTGAGTTGGATAAGCGACGTTTGAAAGCGCATGCTGCCAAAACGACTTATGTTTACGACTATCCACTGCTATTTCAGCGAGCTCTAATTGTTGAATGGACCACATCGCCATCGTACGCGCATTTACCGTTCTCTCGTTTTCTTGTTATTGTAAATTATAGATGAAACAATAAAAAAGTGAATATGTGAAACCAGTTTCAGCTCAACGAAACGTCGTGAACGTTTGCTACCGTTGCAAAAAGAGTTGTGTGAATTTCGTGAGTTGGTTTATGACGAGCAAAAGCGACAGTTGATCATGCGCGAGGATGCTGGTTCACTGAGTGAAATCGGTATGGTTGCTTGGAAGGTGCGTTTGGTGGTGCCGGAATATCCGGAAGGACGTGACGTTATCATCATTGCGAACGACATTTCGCATCAAATTGGCTCATTCTCGATGCGTGAGCATAACCTCTATAATGCTGCATCGAAGCTGAGTCGTTTAGAGGGCTTGCCACGTATCTACATCGCTGCAAATTCCGGCGCACGTATTGGTCTATCAGCTGATTTGAAGAAATTATTCCGTATTATGTGGAAAAAGGAAGAGAATCCAGAGCAAGGCTTCGATGGACTGTATTTAACGGATGATTCGTTAGAAGAAGTGAAAAATTTAGTTGCTGTCGAAAGAAATGGTGGTTTCAATCAGCTGACTGGAATTATTGGAAAAGAGCGTGATTTGGGCGTTGAGAATCTTGTTGGATCGGGCTTGATCGCAGGCGAAACGTCACGTGCCTATAACGATGTAGTAACATATTGTCTGGTTACTGGACGTACGGTTGGTATTGGCGCCTATGTGGCCAGATTATCACGACGCATATGTCAGGTAGAAAACGCTGATATAATACTGACTGGTGCACCGGCATTGAACTCGTTGCTTGGTCGTGAAGTATATACGTCGAACGGACAATTGGGTGGCACGCAGATTATGACACGAAATGGTGTGTCACATTCGTCCGTGGCGAATGACTTTGATGGTGTGTGTCAGCTACTTAAATGGTTATCTCATACGAAAAAATCGACGAAGGCACCATTTAAACAACACAAATTCATCGATCCGATCGATCGAGCTGTTTCCTTTGTTCCATCAGCAAACAAAGACAACGATCCGAGGTATATGCTGACTGGACATCAAGATATGACCACATTGGAGTATTTAGACGGATTGTTCGATCGAAATTCGTTTGAAGAGGTGAAGCCAGGCTGGGGTAAAACAGTGATTACCGGACGAGCGCGTTTAGCGGGTATAAGTGTTGGTATAATAGCGGTGGAGACACGCAGCGTTGTCACTGAAATACCTGCCGATCCAGCAGCACCGGATTCACAAGTAAAATATATCCAGCAAGCCGGACAAGTTTGGTACCCGGATTCGGCGTACAAAACAGCTGAAGCAATCCTTGATTTCAACAAAGAATCACTTCCACTTTTCATATTAGCCAACTGGCGTGGCTTTAGTGGTGGTCAGAAAGATATGTTCGAAATGGTACTCAAATTTGGTGCGTATATTGTCGATGAGCTGTCTCGTTATGAGCATCCCGTATTTGTGTATATACCGCCATACGGTGAATTGCGCGGTGGCGCGTGGGCAGTTGTTGATAAGACCATAAATCCTTTGTTCATGCATATGTATGCTGATCATCGCTCGAAAGGTGGCATTCTGGAACCTGAGGGTACGGTTCAAGTAAAAATGAGAAAGGTCAGTCATTCATTCTTCTGATCATCAGTGTCTCTTGACCGTTGAGCATAAATATTATTTTTGAACTTCTTAAGCATATGTGTATGAACAAGAACATTGCAAACAGAAGTCAGGCCTACCCGCAACGGTTGAATAATTGAAGGATATCGTTCCGTTAATGTATCGTTTGGACAAACAACTGCAAGAATTACGGGCACGTCAGAAGAATGGTGAGGATGTGAATAGCGAAATAGAAGCACGAATCGAATTCTTGACGCCTACTTATCGAAATATTTGTATAAACTTCGCAGATTTACACGATACACCCGTTCGAATGAAGGCCGTTGGTGCTATTCAGGTTTGTTTTATATTACATTTAAAATTTGATAGTGATAATTGTGATTTAAGGGAGTTGTTCGATGGGAAGATTCACGAGCGTTCTTCGCGAAACGTCTTCTTCGATTATGTACCGAAAGAGATATTTATCGAGAGGTTTTTCATTTATTATTTTTATTATTATTATTATTATTATTATTATTATTATTATTATCTTTACTTATTATTATTAATCTTATTATTGTTATAAGATTAATATTATTATAGGAAGATAAGATACTTATTATTATTACTAATTTTCATATTTGTAATAATAATAATAATAATAATAATAATAATAATGATAATGTTACAGTGCGGTGATGTGCGAGGTGTAGAAGAATTGTATAATTTACACGAATCATTATTGGAGTACATGAAGATGACTCGTGGAAATGAGTTTGATTGGGAGAATGAAAATGATGAAGATGCATTGAAGATACTCGATAATGAACGAGCGAATATCATTTCGTTCATTACTTGTAATGATTTCAAACGTTTCGCTCAACGATATGGAGTGTCAGTTCTATTTTTTAATTGTTATCATTTAATAATGTTATATTGGCATTGTTATAAGTATTAAACATTTGCAGGCCTGTCGATAAATTAAACGAGTTCGCCTCAAAATGTGATCAGCTTTTACGAGAGATCAAGGGTTGAGATTTAATTCGACTAATCGAAATGCAATTAATTTCAAATGGCATCATATTGAAAACGTGTTTTCAAAAGTTCTGCATTTTCATCTTCATCGCGTACGTACATTTATGTACTTACGCGTAATTGTTAACCTTTTTTTCCTGACTTCAAATTAAACATTTCACTGAAAATCTCTTCAACAATTCTACACTCCAAACAGATATTAACACAGTCCACTTTCACCGTAATAATTATGCTCTTCTCTCATAATCCAACTTTACTTGTCTTATACAGATAATAATATTATAATAATAGTACAGATTTTTTCCCTGTGCTCATCCAACTATGTGTTCATGATGTGATACGATTGTATGAATTTATATATGTGTTAATATTATTACTGCTGCTGTTGCTGCTAATTTTTTACTCCTTCCTATTAACGATGTCAGATTTTAATTACATAAGCCTTTTTGGGGATGACTAGGATTTGTATTCATTTGAAAGGAGATGAATGGAGAATGTGTTTTTTGCGTAGGTGGTGGATGGCTCATAAATTTGTTATGTCAAAAGACGGACTGCTTCAGATTCGATGAGAGTAAAATTAGGCATAACTGTTTCAATTGTTATCATTTTGTATGACCATTCCCGTAACTTTTGCTATTCATTATTACTGTTATTATTGTTCGTTTGGTATTATCACCATTATTAATTATGGTTAATATATATTCCATAATCATATGGATCAATTGAAAAGCACTGCTGTCCTCAGTGTAACATTCATTTTATTGCAAAAAATATTGATTGCTCTGCCTTCCTCTCATGTAATTTCTCATTGCCAAGTTTGCCTTTTCTTATGAATGTTTATTCAGAGTTGAATTTCAATTAAAACTATGAATGTCGATATTGAAATGAAGTGATACGATTACAATAGAGTATGATATAATATGTTGTGCTGTTATGGAATAAGTAATAAAATTTATACGTTCTCTTTTTAATGTTTGTAATTTGTTGTTTGATTGACATGTCACAATCATATCAAAAGAATAAATATTGCTCAATGAATATAATTATTTCATTTAATATTAATAGCATTATCATTAAAATTATTACTGTTATTCGTGTCATTAATATTGATGGTTCATAAGTAAGTAGATAATAACAGTGTTAGTTTAAATTTGCAATGAAAGTATGCATTCAGAAGTTTGAAGTTGCAAAGAACGAGTTAGAAAAGAATTGAAGTGAGAGGTGATCATATTATTGTCATCATTGCTTTTGATTGTCCTGATGTGATGTCCTCATGCATCAGTTTGATGCTACTTATGCTAATAAGTAATTTATTCGAAGTTAACATAATAATAAATTTTGATCAGATCATAATTGTAAAATTTTAAGCATCATATTCGAGTACAGTTGATATTTAAAATCGCATTTATTACCTGTTTTCTCAGAAGGACATTCAATTCGATTAATTGTTTCATCATTCACACTCAAAGTTCCTTAAGAACTAACCGAATCAGGAACAGTCAAATCAGCACACTGAACACACCCTGCATATGCATCTGTGTTTACGTGTCATTCACACACCTATACCTATTTAAATAATTGATTAATATTTTTTATTCATTTTTTGTTTTTCAAATCAAAAAATCTACAAACAACCCATACTGACTCGTTGAGCCACCAATTTAGCGTTGCGTTAAAAACAAATTTGTCCTTAACTTTCTTTCAACACCTGTTTATATCATTAATTGTTATCAACCACCCACTGCTACCAGAAATGCGCACACTGCAACGTCGTTAGTTAGAATCGCAGTGATCAATCCGTCTCTCATTCATTTCTGTCCATCTAACTTTCTCGTTAACGTGTTCTTTCATTTTTTGATGGGATCCTTGAGTGAGACACACACACACACACACACAGAACGTACGCATGGAACAACACCAGCATGATGGTAGAACTGAATTGCAGGGTAAAACTGAGCTGATTTGTAGTCAAGGTGATGGTCGAAATAACTCAGGATCTAATATTGTACACGATATTATATTCATTAATTTCGATCGCTATTGTGTTTCCACCGATCGAATTTCGTTCGTTTGGCCTAACCATTCAATGCATATTTTCTCGTCAACTTGGTGATGAGAAACTCAACTTTATCGAATACCACTTGAGGAGAACGGTCATTACAATGTTTGTACATTTAACACTACCCTTCTGTTAGTTTTTTTCTGAATTTCAATAATTATTTTTATATCTTATTCATAAACATTCAAACATAGTGTACGAATACGTTCGTACGGTGTTATTGTTTCATTGGATCTTACGAACTCCCACCATATCTATCTGTAGTCGTCACTTTTTATTGGCATATGAGGTTTGGTGATATGGCCTGCATTCTTCTTCAGTTTGCTTGCATTTCGACTGTTTTTCCCAGCAACGTTTTATAGGCATAGTGGATTTTGCTTTATTTGCATTGCACAAGTTTGATTTGATTTGACATTGTTATCATTTTCAATCCGGAAGCTACTCCCAACCCAAGCAACTATCATGGTCATTTTTTCGTTAGAAGGGTTCGAAACTGGAACTGAACACCTCTGCAGGCTTTTAGCCTTGAGTGGCTGAGTTGATGACGTCCTCCATTAATTATACACATGTGCATTATGCTTTTATGAAAATCTCATCACACTCAGCTATATGATGTAATTTTGAACCGCAGTTTATTTCGTAACTTTATCACTGGCTCAAGATGAGGTCACTATATTCGTTTTGTATCCAAACACTCTTATTCACGTGCTGGCACAGGTCTCCGTACTGATTGTTCTGTGTGAGTTTGCATTTTTATTATTATTACTAGCATTTTCAAAACTGTCATTACAAAAAAGTGGTTGAAATATGAATCATTGTTTAGTATATTATCATCAACATAATCTTATCGCGCATGCACATTTCATATCATTCGATCAATTTATTAACTCCAGTGAGTGGAACATATTTGTATTTGCGTTATTGGTTCGGCTGGGAATCACATGAAACAGTTAGGATTCTGAAGAAATTTAATTCGAATTGGAAACTTGTGGCGGACAATATCAACGGGGAATATCGTAGCATTGATAACTTCAATATCTCTTTAACTGGTTCGCCGAATGTTTTTTAACATTTCTTATAATATCATCTATAGATATCCTTTTTCAATCAGATCATTTGCTTGTGCCAATATTGATTCACATTTGACTGTTGACGATAAGCACGGAACGTTTGATACAACCGTCAGACAACGTGAATGATACATAATGATCGTGTTTGAGTGAAGGAGTGAGAAAAGTGATAATGACAAACTCGTGGATATTGAATGTTACGAATTATTCATTGATCTGTGCACAAGTCTCTGATGTTACACTCGAGGCTGTACGTGCTGACGAACATCCTGTTGGTTCATATTCATATTATTATTGCTAGATTATGTTAATAGTATCTGATTTCACTTCGCTACCTAACGAAATAGCTACTGGCGAAATAACGATTTTGTAGCGATAGCGGTAGCGGTAACAATAGCGGTGCCGATAGCGGAAATACCTGATTCATCAATGAATAATTGCTTTAGATATCACACCATGAACGCTCGGGTGGACCAGCGCAATTTCTGGATATTGAAGTGCGAAGTATAACAAAGAAGTTTGAGCCCTTCATAGTTCGGTCGGTAAAAGCTATTTAATAATAATAGAACAGATAATTATTTGTTTATTTATCGTCACTTTTTGGTTTCCTTTCATCATTAATAACCATTCTTTACGACATTTTGATGATAATAATGAGAGTAATGTTGACATAAAGAAGATGATAAAAACCTATTAGAAATAATGCTAATTTAATGATAATATTAACGATATAGCAATAATAATAATAATAATAACTGATAATGTAATAAATTAGAAGGTGGGTAATAAAAGAGGAATTAAGGATTCAAAGTGGCCAATTCCAAGATATGCGCGATAAATTGAATAAGCCGATTGGTCTAGCTCAACAGGTCGTTTTGAAGCAATCGATCAATGACCAATTTGTCGATGTATTTCATGTACAAGTTGAAATGAATGAAAAATACTCGTATGCTCATACTGAAGTATGTCGTCATTTATTTGGTTGTTTTGGAATATTGTATCGGTTCAGAAATAGAAAAGATGTTCATTGCAGGAGTTGGAACCCTGTTTGGGTTGTGCAACAAAGAAGGCAAATGTTAAAATTTCAAAATGCTGTCTAAATACTTATGCTAATAGTGAAAATTTACCGTTCTGCACGCAATGCTTCTGTCGACCAATGTGGTACGAACTGTTTGTTTGAATAATCGTTAGGCGTCTGTGCAATGATTTTGATAGTTTATTAGTCATACTTCAGGTGTGAGACATGTATGGCCCGCATATTTGCAGCAAAACAAGATCGCAATCATCCTGAAGAGTGGATGTCTGGAAAGGCGAATTGTCCTACTTGCCGTGCGGTATTTTGTGTGCTCGATGTTTGTTCACTAGCATGATAATGAAAGGTCGTTATTGTTATCGTTAAAATTATTGTATTAATTCAGTGTGTTTTTGCGACAGCAAATTAATACGCAAACGAATAAAGAACGTAATCTTTGTATGATCGTGAATAATTTTTGGTTTCAAAAGCCGTTTTGGATCGGTGGATGCGTATACTATTCAAATTGTTCATGGATTGATTCATTGGTCATTTGAAGAAATGTAAGTATTTGAGAGCGCAGTGATATAAATATGTATGGGCAAAGTTCAACAATAGTGTTTAAGTTCTAATATGTGCGTAAAAAGGGAGAAACTTGTTAAGCAAACCAAGCTTTATGGTTCGTTTTTGTCACCATTTCGCTTTGAATCTGAACTCTTGCACGCGGCTCAATCAGCTGTCCATATCAGATGTTTGTGCAGACTGCAGTAGAGGGTTTTCATATTGAAACGTCCGTTATTTTGACTCTTGTAGCTTTTGTCGTGAATTTTTGCAAGGTATGATGTAAATAATAAACCTTTTGATAGTATCAGTCCGAGCCAGAAGGTAAGATTCATCGATATCAAATCACAGTAAGCCACCCTTGACATTAGCGCAAATTAGCTTAATTCATCGATCCGTAAATGGAATACTTCAGTCACATATAATAAGATATTCACTGCGATGCATGTGCATCCTTCTTGACAGCAGTTCGATTTACAACCTAAATTGTATGTTGTTGCCGATTGATCTCTAACCGTTATCAAAAATGCTTTTGTCTCTGTGAGCATTGTTCGTTCCATTTAGAACTATTGTTTTCTAAGTTTAAAAGAAACGCAGTTGTCATTTTGACGTTGTTCAGTATAGAAATTGTTATTATGACTGATTAATGAATTTTTTTTGAACTTATTCAAACATGGCGAACCATCAAACGCCTTCAACAAGTGTGCCGAGCAATATTGCAGGATATACTATTTGTGAAAAGTAGGCTTATTATTACTGTTGTTGTTATTATTGTTAGTATTATTATTATTGCTATTATATAATAATAATGGCACTTTTTTACTATGGGGGGTCGTACGCGAGCAAACTCGCGCATGCCACGCCTACTGCGCATGGCTTCAGCCCAAGCGTAGTCTCAGCCTAAGCCTAAGCCTGAGTTCACTTGCTAGCCTCTGCTGTAGCATCGAGCGATCTGATGCTACGCTTAGATGAGGCTGAGGTCACCTTGGACTGAGGCCATGCGCAGTAGG